TTTTTTTTTTTTTTTTTTTTTTTTTTTTTTAACACTCGCGGGGAGGCTCCATCTATTGGTGGGGAGCAACACCTGCTGGAAACCGGGTCCAGTGTCCCTGAACATCATGCTTGCTTGTTTGTTTGTATGTGGAAACAACTGTGACTAGGAAGGATGCCTGCCAGCATTGATTACTCTGTTACCAGAGGATTGACTGTGCAGGATGTTGAGACACAGGGAGTAAACCTCTTCGCCCTATACTGGGCGCGCGATTCCTACTACTGAAGGACTGGTTCCTCCCTCTCCCAACTGCCTTTCACCCGGGGAGCTCTTTACCTCCTCTTTTTGCCCAAAAATCCCTCTGTTCCACTCAAAATCCCCTGGGAGTCAGAGGGAACCACTGGGGGGCACCAGTGGATCTTCTCCTCCTACCCTCCTCCTCTGAATCCGGCCTCCCCCCCAAGGCTGATTGGTTACTAAAGGGTAAGTAACCGGACTGATAGACTGCTGTTCAGTTCTTTGGATTGTGTTTTACATAACTGATTTTGGTTGTAGCTGGCAAGCACACCAACTCATAGCATGCAGCAAAGCTGTCACATTCAAGGCCAAGTGGTGGTCCAATGGTGTTCTAACGACCATGTCTTCCTGTGGGCTGGTTTGTGCACTCCCTCCGCTAGTTGTAGGGGGTAGGAATGTGAGGCTTCAGACGTCGGTGAGCCAAGCTGATACTCGACCTCAAATAGGTGCCAGCACTTGTAACAAACTGGCAGGCCCAGTCTCCGGCTAGTTACAGAGGCTGAGATCTGGACTCAGATCAGTAGGCAGTTGGGGCTCCTTATGGGACCCAGACCTCACCTCCAAAAGACACAAAAGGAGGGAGGCCATTGGGGAGACCGCATTTGGGCACTGACAGCTTGTCAGCCGTCAGACAGTGCCCGGGCAACAGAGAGGAGCTGTGTGAGGTCAGCACCTGCCATAGCTTGGCGGTGTTGAGCAGGGAGCTGGGTGACGAGTTGTTGGAGAAGGTCTGGGAAGAAAAGGAAGACAGTGGGAGCTGGTGGGTGCTTACCTGCCGTCGGTGAGGGGTACATGAGTGACCAGACTTTTCAGCAGCATCTGGCTGGACACAAGAGTGTGAGAGCTAGTGGACTTGTGTGTGTAGAGGAGTGGAGAGTTCTATAGGTGGACACATTATACTAGGGCTATGACATTGCTGTTGTGTTGATTATTGGCGTCAAGAAGTGGGGCTTTCTTTGTCAAGAGACCTCAGTGTCTAGTTTATCGTTACTTGGTGTGCTCTCGGCTTTTTTTACTCTGCTTTAACCTATTGGTCTCTGTAAGCTTTGAAAATTTGTGTTCTCATTGGATGGTTCCTTGCGTGTGTTGTGTGTTTCTTATGTACATCATGGTTCTCCATTTATAGGCGGGTACCCCTTTGGGGGTCAGTTCTCCTTTAGGGATCCTCTTTTTTCTTTGATAATGGGTGTGGCAACCTTGTTGATTAGCGCATCCATCGATGACGGGTGCCTTTGTCTGTGGTGTGTGTGTGTGTGTGTGTGTGTGTGTGTGTGTGTGTGTGTGTGTGTGTGGGGGGGGGGGGGGGGGGGGGGTAAGAATACAAGACCCCAGCAAAAAAGCTTCACACCAGATGACCTTCCCAAAACAGCACATCGCAAGGCTATGTGCAGCAAAACATTAGTCCAAGACTGAAACTGGCATGCCAACGTACAAACAGACTTCAGATTGATGGTTGAGAGAGGAAGGGTGAGGCGAGAGGACAGACAAACAACAGCAACAGCAAGGAACAAAGGCTGGAGGGTACAGTGGAGGCGGGTGGGCAGACAAGCAGCACTAGGCAACAACTGGATGGACAGGGCAGAGAAACGAGAAGAGCACCAACCAGCCACAAAGCAACAGGGCATGCCAACACACAAACATGCCAACCACCAAGAAAAAAAGACA